GGCCAAATAGTTGTCGAAAACAACGTACATATATTATTGAATAAAGATGGATTTAAATATAAACAATTGTTTTTTATTTAGTCATAAAAATTGCTACAAATTTTCCGAATAACTTAATATATTAAAATTTTTGAAATACATATGCGAATGTAAATATAAGTTAAAAATAAAAAGAATATGTTTTACACAAACGGGACAAAAATTGAAAATTTATGTTTTACATTTGAAATAATTTATTTAATAAAAGAGCGCATTTTTCGTTATCGATTTTTGTTTGGTTATTGATTTTGAAATATATTTGAAATATAGTCTTGCTATACGCTAATTTCTTCAGAATCTTTCCTAGCCTATCCATGCATCCGTGGTCCCATGGCTTAATTGATTCCATGGTCGAGCACGGAAATTCAAGATTCGTGGTCCCATCGATGATGGTCGAGCATGAATCTTGAAATAATGTTGATAACGATCGACCATCGAAATGGTCGACTATCAACACAAATTTCAGAACTCTGCGCTAAGCGTCTTATAAAAACTACCGCTCTTAAATTTTTTAATGTCGAGAGATACAATTTGCGTACTCGCCAACATTCGCTTTTGTTCGGGCAACTTATGTATCCGGAAGCGATCCTATCAGCGCGATACACTCGCTTACGTGTGATAAGGCAGCGCCCTATGCGACCACCTTGGAAAGGGGAACAGCAATAGAGAAATTATAGTCGAATATATAGTCGAATATATAGTCGAAATATATACGTGTATACACTTTCGTATGTGTGTGACAAGCGCACATTGTTAAGCGATAAAGCACATACGCGTTTGAATAGCGATGCGGTTATCGAAAAATTTCAACGACAATCTATTTAGATAAATTGCTTCCTAACCATTTAATATCCCTTTCGATGAGCCATAACACACTCATTACAAAAAAAGTCGAATTCTTATGCATGTCGTGCTTTTAGTACTTTTATTAATAAGAATCAATATCTATATAATATTTATTATTTTCAACAACAAAATATAATCGTAAAAACATGTAAAAATTGATTGCTTGGTTTGCAGTAACCCGGCATAACGGTGAAAGCAGAAATTTTAGGAACCTTTTCGTTTTTTTTGTTTTTTTTACTTTGCGTTTGGGGCGCGTGAGCCACTTCCAGCATAGGGGCGCTTAAGACGGTCGCAACGCCTCCGTCTACGTAGCGCGACTTCGGCGGCGACGACACGGCGGCTTCAATAATAAATATGCGATTGTCATGTTGAAATCGATCGACAATTCGCAAGCAAAGCGGTAATTCAACTCCGCGGATGAGCGATAAATCCGGCTGTCGCGCTCGGTGATCAGCACCGCGCCCGATTAGTTAACACCGCTTGCGACTTCTACGGCGCTTATACTCGGTGGCGCGATGATATCGCTGCCTCATCGTATTATTCATGAGGTTATAGTCGCGGGATATAGGTGGATCGCGGGAGTGCTCCTGCGATACCGATTTTATTGCTCACCGTAGGTATTATCTCCGGCGGCGTGTCTCGATGTCGCCCGCGTAGCTTCGTGAATATCGAGACGCGGACCACCCACTCTTGTCCGCGGCGGATATCGTTTTTGCCTGTCCCAGTAAAACTCGACCGTCCGCGCGCCGAGACTGCGTCCTTCGTGTATGACAAACGATCAGCCATAACGTTGAATTAACTCTCGACCGGTCGGTGTACGTTTGATTAAGTCTACCGGAGCGTATCCGCCAAGATGCATCGAGTCTCCATTCATGTGCATGACGCGCGGGATACTCGTCGGTATTCAGCGATGTGTAAAGCGCTACATGGGCGGCCACGTGATAGCACTGATTTCAACTCGTAGGCTTTTTAAGAATGTCGAAAGTCGTAAACAGTCATTGACGATGTTTAGAGTTAATAAAATATAATCAAGGAATCACAAGTGAGAAAGTCGGAGCAATGGTTGAATAAACACGTACCTTTCGTTATGCGTTCTTTCCGTCGTAACGATCACCGTGATCCATCAAGATTTTAAAGGTGTACAACGCCGGTTCTCTTTCATGCAAATGCCGTTTAAATCGCCTACAAGAAAGCTAGATCAACTGTCCGACTCCCTTTCTATGTTGCGCCGCGCCTCGATGTCATATAAACAGGAATTAGGCGGGATCTCGAAGAAGAATATCCTAATCTCTCTCTTTCTCGCTCGACGAACTGCTTATGCAAACCCCGCGAGTTACTGGCCATAAATAACGCCGGCAAGATCTGCCGGGGCAAGCGGGTTTGGGAGGAGGGACGCGCATTCGTTTACGTGACGTGCGCGTTCTTGTCGCCGACCGTTTAACGTCGCCGATGCACGGGTCCGCGCTTGCGAAACGAATAACTGGCCGTGGCTCTCGACATGCTGACACGCCGATGCGCGTTTTCCGTCTCGCCGCGTCGACGGGTTCTGTCGCGCCGCCCCGAGGCGCCTCTGCCGTGTGCACCGCGTCATCCCTAGATTCTGAGCCCCGGTAATTTAGCACGTTTTTTTTCTTTCCTCTCCTCGGCGCTTGCGGGTAGGTCCTTAATTATCCGACCGTTGCAATGACCGGTTGTCATCGACAGCCGGAGTGATGAGCGCGAAAAGACCACCCGCGGCTTCTTATCCGCGCTCTTTATTTGTATACAAATATATCCCTAAGGTTGACATAGCGAGATGACGGTAAAGAAAAGTGAAGGAACGAGAGAAATATCATTTACATTGTTTGGTATGCGGCTCTTAAAGTATATATGTGAACGATAAAATACCAATGCGCGTTTAGCCGATAATGATGGAAGATAGGAAAAAGCAATAGCCATAACGATGTGAAATGAACATAAAAACCAGATATTACGTGCAGTTTGTACAATCTTGTAGGTACATCGCATGAAGAAAAATCTTAAATAAAGAGTAAATTATAGATGTAGATTCTAATGAGAGTTCATCGCGTGTGTTTTTTAGAATGCAGAAACAAAGTTGCTTTGGCATCAGTAGCATGTTTTTGCAAACGGCAAAAACGTTGTATCGCGAGCGAACCGGTTACCACGCGAATTTTTAGCGTTCACGTTAATGAATCCTGCCAATTGTAGGATATCATCTCGTAATTTATTCATTGTCCTCACTAGAGAGCTGTTGCTATCGTTGATCGATGGCGTCGCTGATTCGAGCCGGCCGGCCGCGCCGTTTAATTTATTCATCGAACTCACGCTCTCTTTGGCCCAGAAATTTATGATGTTATTATTATGTTTTATATGCAAAGTCATCGATTACCTATGCACCATTCTTGCCGATTCTCACGCAGGTAGAGGAGCGACGTCCGTGGAAGCGTTCTGATTTACTACCTCCGAACTTTAACGGATAACAAAGCATCGATTGTTCTTGCTTCGTTTGATACGGCCAAAAAACAAACTAAGATTAAACTATGAGGCCGGTCCTGAAGGCCGATTCGGCCCATATTTGGCCTGATTCGAGCATAGCCATACTCAGACTTATACGCACACGTTCGTTACATTAAGTGAGCGAGTTGGGAGAAATACATTTAATCTTTACAACCGCTTGAACATAAATATATTGTCATTGAGATTTTGCCAACCGTTTTTTTGTTTGAGAAATTATTTTTTTTAATGTGTAACATTCAAATCGTGAATTTATAATAGTAAAATTCTAACATTCAAATTATTTATGACACAATATGATACTAAATGATAAAAACTATTGTACTCAGGCTTACGTATTTATTTTCGAGAATTTACATTGCAATTTTTAATACACAAGTTTTGAAAGTTAATGAAACTCTTGCAGAGAACGGTGCAAAAAGCGATCGCAATTTTTTTTCCTTTGGAAGGATCACGAACCATTTCTTGACCGGACGCGCTGTTTTCATTTTTTTTCTTTTGCTTCCGTCATTGGCATTGAGTCAAATGCAACAAGTGTATGCAAAATGTCGTTACTGCAAGCTGAGCGTAAAATTGAATGAACGTCGTCGTTGATAATGCGAATGGTAACATTCGTATATTGTACAGCGTCATTCCCAACTTTAGACGTGGCTCATCCTCCTGTAAAATTTAAACATCGTACCGAATCATCCGCGCGTATATTTTCAGATTTCAATTCGTCTGTTGCTTTATGCTCCGTTTTTCGATAACGCAGTCACGTATGAGGGAGTTCGCTTAACAAAGGTCGGATAGGCGACGTAACGAGCATGCAATATCGAACGTCGTATCTTGGAAAATCGAGGATCGCTTTTTCGACGCTTGAAATTTGCACGTTATTGAAAACTTAATTTCGTATCAAATTTCTCTATTTTTATAAATTCTGTATTTGTGATATAAAAATATGAAAGTCAATAATATCAATATGGCCGGTGCAAAAATATTCGTAAATTAAACAGTTCTCTCGCTGAGTTATACCACTCTTAATAGGAACGAGGAATTAATATGTATTTTAACGTTTGGTCGCATTTTAACATTCTATTTATTATTCCATAAGTCTGATTTGTACAAATTTGTAATGTGAATTATGATATTGCAATATATCTTTTTGCCCACTGACTGATCAAATAACCATCTATTTTCAGTTTAAATTAATATCTCATTCGGTATGTGATGATATCTCTCTCTTCTCTTTCTCTCTCTCTCTCTCTCTCTCTCTCTCTCTCTCTGTAATTATTTCATTGCGGCAACTGTTATATACGCGACAATATTCTATCAGAATATTAATCCACAGTTGTGTCATTGCATTTTAATTGAGTTATCGGTGTTATTAGTCAGATCGATGCATAAATAAATCGTTTGCATTTCCGGTCATTCTGTACGCAATAAACCGAGTGAACGTTTATGCTCGCCCGAAACAACTTCGTTCCTTTGCTGTTTGCCGACGCCAGATAACTTCAGACATGCATTCAGGTTGAGTCAGTCAGTCAGAATGATCGCATTACTAGCATTTCTAACGTTACTCGCCGCGATTGTTCGTGGCGGTTTGCTGGAAAAATACGCCAATGCACCCGGAAACGTATATCACGGTAGGTAAGTGCATTTGCATCTTGCAATCATTTTTTATTTCGCCGTGATGATACCTAAGATTGTCGAATCTCGCGTAGCCGCGTGTTCGTGTTTTTGACAAAGGATAACAAACTAAATGATCGAAAGATTTGTACCCACTTAACAATTTCCTAAAAAAAGTAAAAAATAATGTAATATTTTAATTATATATCATATATACAATAATAATATTAACAGAAGAAAATATTTGCACAATATTGTAGAGTTTTGAACATTTTTATAAGGTTTCCATAAAGTTTTATCGCGTTATTCGCGTCGCCGGTGACGCAACAGCATTAAAAATGAACCCATCCAGATATACGCGGGACATTCACGGGCCGGAGCTCCTGATACCGAGACGCGTATTCGAGGATGGCAGCTTCAGCACGTATTCCCTGCCGAATTTCTATAACCGTCGGGAGATCAGTGAGCGCGGAAAGCGATCCCCCGGGCCGACCGATAAATTGCACCTGGTGCTGCCCTTCAACGGGATCGATCACCACGTGGAGCTCAACCCGTACCATGAATTCATCTCGCCCGACATGGTGGTGGAGACACGGGGCGCCGGGATCAGTACTAATCTAAACGAGGGCTTGAGATTCAAAAGGGTGGCCGACCGGCAGTGTCACTATCGCGGCATCGTTCGGGGCCATGACAATTCCAGGGCAGCGCTGTCTCTTTGCGACGGCGTGGTTGGTATACGTCGCGCTCCGCGTAACTCTGCCTCAGAGGGCTTCGGTATTAACAAACCGTGAGAAGCATTTCGGGCATGTTTGTTGCGTTAACGTAGTGGAATATATAGATGCGTTTTGGCAGGGGATCTATGGAATGCGCGTTAATTGGCTTCTATGAGTATTCGTGGTTCATATTATATATTTATTATAGCATAATATTATTCTATAATTGCGTGAATAGAGAGATTGCGTATTAATTGATAGTTTACATATTTAAAGATAGAACTATTTAATATGATTGCGTGGTTGACATTACTTGTTCGCGAAAAGTCAATCAGTTTAATCAAATTCATGAATGCCGATGTTATATTAAGCATGTTGGATTTTAATCTTTACATTAGCACGGTTTGCATGAATTATTATTAATTTTGAGTATTTGCTACTGGAGATAGAACAGAATTTCAAAGTGGTTGCGAGCGTGGTTGGTGCACATAATGCGTTCCGCGGATTCCTTCGGGAGGTTAACGTTAACGAAGCGAGAGGAGAATCGTGAGCTCAGTCAGACGAATATTGCAGAAGGGTTGCACCGCAGAGCATTTCTAAATGCTGTCGGCATTCGATGTAAATATCGTGACATTTTTCAAGCCGCAAATTTCTCTTCTGTCTGTTCCACTCATGAAACTTATAATAATATCAAAATATAATACACGTGTTCAAGAGCTTGTGATGTAATTGCAATTTATAACAAAGCTTCTCGACGGACGATGTTAAAAGTTATTTTGGTAATGCGCCGGACTTTAAGCATGTAGAGTGCTAAATGTCTGTACGAAAATGGATACTAGTATTATTATAGCAAATTTAGATTTTCAAATACCAAATTCTCTATTCATTCAATTATTTATGATAAATGAGAAATAGCATTTACAATGTATTTGACATTTGAAATCCCATATGCCAATTATAATGAGAATGATGATCTTTAACGTGTATGATTAAAATCTCGCAATAACAACATTACATCAATCGACTAATGTACGTCGCGTTGTAAATAATATTGATATTTTATTTCCTATCGCTATATTATTATCGGCAACGCGTGACACACCTCTCGCGTGCAGGCTGGTTACGTGCAAACTAATCACGGACGATACTTTATCGAGCCAGTGTATCAGGCAGAACCCAAAACAGACGGTCAACACATTCACATAGCGTACAAGCGAGATGCGCCGTTTGAGAAAAACAGACAAACCAACGCTATATCGAAAAGACATTGTGGGACTAGTGGTTAGTGCGACATTATTTTTATTTCCATTAATGAATAATTATAATCTTCTTTATTCCAATTTTTAAAAGCAATTTTGAACGAAACTAAACATCGCTAGGCATATTTCGTGCCATTTACTTGAACATTTCACTGAGGAGAAATTCCTAACTCGCATCGTAGATATTTATTATGTAGTGTAACGCGAGAGAACTTTGCATAGTTACGGACAAGTGACAAATAATGGCGCGTAGTTTGTAGAAGCTCATTTCCGCTTTAACAGACAACTGGGAGTCGGCGTGGGCGGAGCAGCTGGCTAAAAGGCAAATACGGCTAATGGAAAATAATACTCTCGATGCGAATCGCGATACTAAAATATCCCCGGGCACGCACAGCATACACCGTTACATAGAAATTGGATTAATCGCTGATCGGAGATTCCTCGATTTTCACAACAATACGGATTACGAGCAGTATCTCTTGACGATCATGAATATGGTATCCGACTTTTATCACGACACTTCTGTGGGAAATCAGATAGACGTCGTCTTAGTACGCGTGATATATTTGGAAAAAGAGAAAGAGGAGGTAATGTGCGATATTACATATAAGATGAAAGTTATAAAATGTGTTCTATAAAAGATATCTTAAGTAATTTAGATGGATACGTGAGAACGAATTGATATAGATATCAAATTTAATATTCAATTTCTCTGATGAAGAGGAAAATTACATATAGCTCCTTCTGTCGGAACTAAAATTAGTATGCTAATTGATTGATATCTGATTTGTCAAATCGCGATGCTGTATATATGCTCGTAGATAGATCTGCTCATCAGTCCGGCTGCCGAGAACACATTGGAGAGTTTCGCGAAATGGGCGGAGAAGATGAATCCAAAGGATGACACGCATCCCAATCATTATGATATCGCGGCGCTAGTTACTAGGTAATTTTCTTAGGCATCGGGATCTAATCGTTGTACACATCGCGCAATTGCAACTCGCCTGTACATTCTTAGGTATGATATTTGCTCGGAGGGAACCAATTGCGACTTGATGGGTCTGGCTCATGTCGCTGCGGCTTGCGACTCAGCAAAAGCTGCTTGTATCAACGAAGATAGTGGACTTTTGCTCGGCATCGTGATTGCTCACGAAGTTGGTCATGTGTACTGTCCATTTCAAGTATAATTCAAAGATCGCGCGTGAAATATTTTTAGAAAGCAATATAAGTGCCAAAATGTTAAATAATTTTAAAGATAGAAAAAATTTATAGTTTGAAATAATTTTTTTAGTGACACTTTTAATTTGTTTTCTGTAGATACTTTATATGATTATCGTAACAATTTGATTGGGGAGATGTAAAATTTCGATATTCTATCTTTCTACGCGAAATTCCACCTTTCTGTTTAATCAAAAGATATACTGGTTATGAACATGTTATTTCACAGAATGGGTTGCTCTCACGATGAGCCTGAGAGCAGCGGATGCCCATCGAAAGATACGGACGATAGCTACTTTATTATGTCCCCTATCGTGTTTTTATACACCATTAGATGGTCGAGCTGCAGCAGAAGATTTATAACAGCTTTTCTTGAGTAAATCGAGTTGGTACATAAGTAATGACCGTTTTTATTACATAAAAATGCACAACTTTATGTAAATCTATGGTACGCTCACAACATAGTTCAGTGAAAATGTTATTCCATCATAAATATATGAGAATTTATGTTTAATTAGTTAATGTTGTTTTTCTTCGTTAGATATTTTTACGTTTGTTGTAGATTTTGTTAGCTAATTATTTCATGACAGACTAAAAAATTATTCTTAAATAAATTTATAATACATTTTGTTTTAAAAATTTTATTTGGCACTGCTTGTTAGCATCATTGTTATCAATTGAAGTGTGCAAAATTCGAAAATTCTGAGATTTGTATTTAAAAACTGTCATTATATGTGTGTATAAGAATATAGTATCTAATTTTAAAAATATAATTTGCTTCATAGCAAATTTTTCTTATAAATAAGGAGCGGATTGGGTGAATGTTTGAATGACAACCCAAGAAATCCTCCAGAAAAGTTGAAATATCCGAACATGTTGCCAGGTGCAATGTACGACGCTGCCTTTCAATGTGACATGCAGTTTCCTGGCTCGAAAGTGTGCTCGCAATCGCAAGTAAAAACTTTAATAGACTTCATGCGACCTTAATCATATTTCAGTTTGTTGATCTAATGTTGCGCGAGTGTCGGAAATGATTATTTAGCAAGAGTCAATGTGTTCTCCGTATTAAGGTTGATAATTTTAATGTCACTCCAACCGTCTACATTCCGTGTTTCACCTGTCGCTTTCTTGTTAGAGATGACTTTTATTAATCGCTTTTCATTTACCCCAAATAATTTCATTCGATTACCTTTCGCATTCGGTCGGAATAAATCATTAAACGAAATTACGTTTGCGCGCGTTTGTCACTGTCCGCATTTGTTGGCTTTCGGAATCGTACCGTTTATAAAGAGATCTCGCCGGAGATTGCATTTTCTCGCTCTGCTTTTTGAAAGTTAATCTCATTAGTCCAAGTTCTTCGCGACTGCGTGTATATTTCAGGCGAGCGGCTGCGAAACCCTATGGTGCTTGACCAACACAAGTTGCTGGTCCCTGGGGACGCCGAAGGCGGATGGAACAAAGTGCGGTGAGAACAAGGTGCGCGCAAGTTACGTAGAACCTGTTCGGTGAAATATATTCCCGGCGTGGATTATTTAGCGGTCGCTTAGCATCGTTGTTTATGCATCCGCAGATATTACCGATGACGTAAATAATACGTCGCCGCGAGGTGGCATCAATTATCGCGCGAACGCGAACAGCGATCGCGTCGAAAGTCATTTGCGAGGCGCGATCCGCGTGCCGGAGCGCTGTCGGAAACGTTAGCGGAATAAAAGGGCGTTTTCCGTCTCTCTCCCCGGCAGCGAAAGATTTATTAAACGACGCGCCTTTCTCGCGCTCGTCGCTCCTCGCGGATGTAGATTTCGTCGCCTTCGGCGCGCTTGCGAGCGGCGGACGTAGATTTAATCGCACCGGTGAAATAAATTGAAGTGTCAGGAAACTTCGCGCGACTCTCTCCGCGCTGTAGATTGGTATTCGCGCGAAGCATGAGGCGCGGGGAGTAGCCCGTGAGACATGTTACATTCTTCTAACCCGCGAGACAAAGGTAATGTAAAGAGTGTTATGTGCGTGCGCGCGCGCGCGCGAATCCAGTGGTGCATTCACAAGAAATGCGTGGACATGGGCACTCGACCGGCCGCCGTGCACGGCGAATGGGGCGAGTGGGGTCCCCTGAGCTCTTGCAGCAGAACCTGCGGCGGCGGGCTGAAATTTTCCGAGAGGGAATGCGACCGGCCAGTACCGGCGAACGGCGGTCGATACTGCACCGGCGAGAGAAAGAGGCTTTTCACTTGTAACACCACGGTAAATCGTACTGGTCTTTCGTTCGCTTTTCGCGAGCCACCGCTTCTCGTGCGAACTTCAATAATCGAGCTTCACTCCACTGCGATATTCCACATCGCCCGCGTGATTACTCCTGGCGGCTATTTCCACGCTTCCGAGCTGTTGGTGGAATTACACGTTCCAAGTTACGCACACTAGCGGTGCTCGCGTCTCTGTTTTATTTTCATTATCGCGTCGAGGTGGCCGACAGCGTTGTGTCGTCGCGCGTACGAGATTTTTACGCTTCCCAGCAGTGAGATACCGCCCGGTAATACGAAAAGGCAACGCGGACGGTACAACGTACCGTCGCAAATATAGTTCGAGAGAAAGACTACATTATTGCGGCGAGCATCTCCATGACGAAGCTCGCCGAATCCTTTTAATTCTTTTTAGTCGCGCGACGATTCTCTACGCTGTCGCAATTTTCTCGTATGCCGTCCCGCACGGAATTCCGTCACACATTTGCCGTAACGTTCCGCGCTAAATTGCACAGCCCTGCGATCCGACGAAACCGCCGTACCGCGCAGCGCAGTGCTCGGAACACGACAACGAGGAGATCCTGACGGACGGGCTTCATCAATGGAAGCCGTACATGGACCCGAAATTAGAACCGTGCGCGCTTTACTGCATCAACGAGAAGAACACTTTCGTGAAGATTTCGCCGACAGCGAACGATTCGACACCCTGCAAAGCCGGGACCAACTACATGTGCATCTCCGGAACGTGCAGGGTGTGAAATCGTAACTTTTCGGAATTGAATCGCTTTGCTGAGAAATCCGTACTATTCGTGCTAGGATTGTCGCGCTGATTCGAGAAAATTTTTCAGCTAAAAACGCCGAATTTTTTCAATTTTCTTCATACGTATATTTAAAGCTTTAGATATCAGTATTAATATATAATCTATGAAATTTGCTTATATTGAAAAATTCTCCATTTTATAATTATTTTTTAAAATAATCATGCTTTAAAATTTTTCCGATTTTATAGAAATATTTCTAAAGATTTGAAATACTTGCACAATGAAAATTACGCTCAGATATGAGGAAATATTTGCAATAAAGCACATGATTGCAATAATGAAATTAGCAATATATTCTCATTAATTAATAGCACGCTTGTTAAAATACTTGCGTTTGACAATCTTTGCATTGATCCACAATTGAATTTAGTGGTAAGGTTCTTGGTTTACACGCGTGTTTGTAATTACTTTGTTAATGGCCAACGTAATCTACCGTTAATTAACAATGTAGGTCAATTCGCACAACGTGACAAAATTACACACGTAATATACCAGTAGTAGATTCAAATAACAAAACCTTTGACATACACAAAGAGAGAGATAGCAGAATAACAAATGTTTTCTAATAAACTTTTTTAAAATAGCTTGTGATACTTTAAGAAAAATGCAAGTACTATTTTTTTATGGAATAGATTTTTAGAATTTTCTTAAGATTTATTTTACGGGTGTGACATTTCTCTCATTATTTTTGCTATGTTAGGTATTGCTATGTTAGTAGCGACACGATTCTTTATACTGCAGAAGGTTGGATGCGATTGGGTGATAGACTCGGACGCGATTGAGGACAAATGTGGTATCTGCAAAGGCGACGGGACAAAATGCAGCCCTGTGGAGGGTGAATTCACTGAAACAGTGTCGTCGAGCGGTAAAATTTCAGTAGATTTCGCCCGCGGCTCGCCAAACGGAACCGAGTAGCTCTTTCCCAAGTTAGATCGTTCGTCTCTCTTTGCAGCGTATGTGAAGATCGTGACAATTCCGAGGGGGGCTCGCAGCGTGCACATTTCCGAGAGAAAACCCAGTGAGAACATACTGGCCGTGCTACTGGAGAAAAATAAAATATATTGCCTCAATGGAGACAAGTGAGCTTCCGCAAACTTGTGCGCATGTCGCACCTTTTCTTTTTCGCGTTTAATTTAAAGCATAAGAATTCCGGGAGGCATTGATACGCGTAGATATGCATTTCGCAACGATGATAAACGCGTCGTATGTTTTTATGACATTTTTATTGTTGTTCGCGTAGCCGTGAGTTTAAGAGCGGAGATTACGAGTGCGCTGAAACGATGATTATCTACACGCATCCAGAACCGGACAAGGAAATAGTGGAAATGAAAGGCCCGATATCCGAAGATATCGTAATACAAGTACGCCGTGTCTATCTTCTGACAAGTATCGATATAATATCGTACATGTTGTAATTATCGGTTCTGCGCGAATAATCCGCCGTGCAAAAATCCGATATCGCTAATACATCTTTTTATTCGCTATTGTGAAATATCTCCTTGTAAAGTCGCTATATGAATATTGCTTTTTATTTTTGCGTTCTTTAATTAATACTACTAGTTAATGATGAAATATATCTTTTTTATCGTACGCTCATATGATATGCCAAAAAGAATCACATGTCAGAACAGTTGCTCTTTAATCGAAATCATTTATAACTTTCACCAGTTTCATCATATACTGCTTTATCGATAAAATATTGGGGAATATTAAATTTTAACTTTACAATTTTTCGTTTGTTAACAACTGTAAATCTTTTAGTACGTCTTCTTCAATCCCAAAGACAATCCCGGAATAGATTACAAATACTACACGAGATCGACGAATGTATCGTACGCGCCTAAATATATGTGGGATTTCGTGGAGTGGTCCGAGTGCAGCGCTAAATGCGACGGTGGCACGATGGTAATTTATGTGACAGCATAACACGCGCGCTCGCGCCTAACGCAACCGCGAATACGACCGCTTTTATGCGACGGACATGTCATCGATTTGCGCAGATATCCGAAACGTCCTGCATTGAGGAGCAGGGTGGGCGGGTGACGCCTAACTTCTGCGACGGAATACCGCGTCCGGAAGCAAAGAGCCGCATCTGCAATCAGGTCCCTTGTCCTGCAAAGTGAGTCGCAAGTTTCAGACTTCGCAAATTCCGCGCAATATCGGTCAAAGTGTAGACAATGTGTCGTTGATACGATTTCACGTAACAATGATTCACTGAGTGGAATGACGATGTTTAAGTTAGTTTAACGAGACATGCATTTTAGAAAAGACACAAATTATTGCAGCATAATTTAAAACTTAAAAAATTTGTCGTATCACTATTTTATTTTATTTTACTAATTAGATTTTGAAATAATAATTTTTATATTACTTTTCATATTTCTGTATGATAGGAAAATCTAACTTGTTACTGTTTCGTTAGACGACTTAAGTGGCGGTAATGTTGCGATAAAAATCTCCTGACATTATTTGCTTCCGCTTGATCGATCTTAGTTCCCTCTTTAACGATGACGTAGTGCTACGCACCTATGTCCGCATATGTTCGCCGATAAATAAGATGTTAACTCAACGTCGTATAAACATCGATCTAGCGTTTTGCGCGTACATTAGCGTCCGCTCGATGAATCTGATGTAAGGCAAATAAATCCATGTCCATCGCCGGTCGATCATGTAGATGGCGAGTGAGTCAGTGGAGCAAATGCAGCGCATGCGACGGAAAGAAGGGTATGAGGCATCGTAAGGTCCAGTGTGTAAGACCGAGTGCTCGACCCGGAGAAGACGATGTGCAAGCGAATTTGGACGCGTGCAAAGGTCGCGTGCCGAGACAAAAAGAAGAATGCATAGGTATCATCGCATATTCTTTTGCGATAAAACAAAAAGAATACAAATAATAGTTGAACATTCGATTCCATTACCCACGTATCAGGTAAAAGACCGTGCAAAACGATGTGCCCGAAGCAAACTCGACAATCCGATGAGCAGGAGCTCGTAGACGTGAAAAAGGAAGCGAGCTTATCTCCGGACGATCAGCGAAAGATGATCGACAGATTCGTCGACCTCGGTCTAGCCCATTACTCGGAGAAGGCTCGTGACAGGTTGCACGATGACGACAAGCTCGAAGAGACGAGCGCCGCCCGGGACTTCCGACAGCTTCTTTACGACTGGGCGATGACAAACGAGGACAAGCGTAAGCGTACCTGCGAGACGGACGAGAGATTCACTACGCTGAAGCCAGGATCCATCATCAAGGATTCGATACCTATCGAGAAGATTGTACTGCTGCAGGCGCCATACATGGATGAATCCCTGCAGTCTAATCTGTCGGACAAGGCGTTCCAGGAAGCCGGCGATCTCGTCGGCGTTGGCATTGACACGAGCCGGGAGAAGGTTTACAAGGGCGCGCAGGCGATCAAACTTATCGAGCAGTTAGCTCATCGTAAACTGACAACGAGCCCGCGGGCCATTTCCAGTCTCGCAGAGAGCGCAGATCTTAATCAAGCAGTCGACACCGCGTCGGAAAAAAACATTGAGCGATAGAAAATAAAACGTTTACGCGGCGAATCATTATGATGTTACCTTCGCATGCAGCTATCTGTGTATAAGTTTCAGAAATATATGAATACTCAGATGTGGATCAGAGAGACGTTTAGGACTTTGTACATCTCGACTTGTCTATTCTGTTACGAGACTCGCGGTTTGCTGATTCACGTCGTCGTCACGACGTGATTGATTAGCCTGACGGGACGAAGGCCGTCAAGCCGAATAAGAAATATAATGCGAAAGTCGCGCGACGAAGATATCGCCGAGCGAAGCGCGGCGGTCGTCCGCAGCGTTCAGCAGACAGACAGACGTCCGCATTACGGGAACGGACGTGGAACAAGCACAAACTCAAGATTAATGACTCGTGTGTTTTTTGCCACTTAATCTTTATTGATACAAGAAAATGTCGCGCGCGCCAGGCACTTCCCAACGATAACTCCAGGACACGGGCCATTAAGGGTGGGGAACGGGGCCGGGAAAGGAGAGAGAATGTGTCTGCAATCTCGGATCATTACAAAGTATCGCTCCAGCCATAAATAACTTACTAACGACGAATCTGAAAGATCAATGCTCAGCCGGCGAGACTCGTTAGTGGGTCGCGGGAAATCATCCTCTCCGTGTCGTTCGAATATAATTTATCGTCGCCCGTCGTTCGCGTCGCAGTGTACCGTCGCGTATTGAGAGATTATCTTCAGATTCTAGCGAATCTATCGCCGTTTCATCGTCAATTACGGCTGTGTTAGGCGGACTTAAACAACGTTGCTGATTTAATCGAACGATTCATCTTGCGACTTGCGACTCTCCGTTTAATCGTCATCCGGCGTGGGCCAGAATCTCCACTATTCGACCGTTAAAATCCGATCCGCGCGTATTAAAGCGCGCACCCATGGGTATAATTCAGTCGTATAACGTAACGATTGTTTTTATCGCTCCGAACGCCGGCAATCTGCGCGCGTGTGTTTCACACTCGAAAGCAACACACTGATACCGTCGTTCTATTCAGCGACTCGTAAAAGTCTCCCTGATGGATCACATCACTACCGACGCAGATTCGTTTTCCGGTCGCGCACTCTTTACCCATTTGTGCCGAAGACGACGCCCGTTGTGTTTGAAAGAGCAAATGCTTCGCACGATAGTAATCGATACCGACATATATCTCGCGGGATAATAAATTCCTCTCTCTCTCTCTTTCGTTGTGTCCAATTTCTTTCCTCGATCATTCTCGTTATCGGTTCAGTTTATCACGCATCGCGTTCGCGTCATGTGCGAAAGATCGCGACTTAGAAAAACGTGCGCGCTTCTTCCTGAATTTTTTGTATGTATCTAAGAGCGTCCATGCCGATCAAAGTGAATTCCGTGCTGTTTTCCGGCGGCTGAGGCTTGAAATCCTTCGGAAAATTCGTAACAACGTTCTTCTCGTCGCGTTCCAGAATAATCGTGAGCGTCAGATTCCGGATGTCTTCCTTATCGATCACTATCTCGCCTTTCTTGATTTTACGTACATCGGTTTTCTCCTCTTTATCATTCAGTATATCCCCCGATCTTTTATCTATCTCGGAACGATCTTGATGAATTTTACTCGATTTTCGATTCGAAACATCCAGTGGAATTAAATCTGTCTTTTTATTTGGAAGCGCATTCATATATCCGGTTTCAATCAAGCGAGAGAGATCGGACGGATTTCCAGTCTGTTCTGCGCGTGGAGAGAGATCATTCGGATATCGATCTTCCGCAGTGTCGCTGTTTAAAGCCGTCTTAGCGGGTCTTCGAGCGGCTTTAATGAAGTCGTTTTGTCGCGTTAACGTGTTCGAGCGAACGGAGGGGAGCCCATGTTTGCCGTCGGCGGCACTTCTGTCCTCTCGTCTTCGTCGGCCGACTTCGCAAGACTCCGACTCCCTCGGCTTCGGTCCTTGGCAGTAGCTGTCCTCGATCACATCGACATCCTGCTCGCCACGGCCGACGGGTCGTATACATTTGACAGCGCGACTTCTCTTGCAGCCTAACGTGCACGGCGTGCAGCCTTGCCAGTCGCCAATGATCCATCTGGAATCGCGCGCGATAAGAGAACGGGGTTTTAATTAGTCGGCGACTGCAGGGCGATTATCGCATAGTGTCATGTCCATTCGTTATAGTTGCTCGAAATAAAAGTGATCAACGCGTGCACACGATACGGTCAATCAAATGCGAAAGACGATATGAAACGTAAATAACAATATATGTGTAAATGTTATTATCATTGCAGCGCTAAATGGCGCAACTATTTTTCTACACAATTTTGCATTACGATTTCGCAATATTGAAGTAAGTAAAAGGGATAATTTCCTTATTTATGTAATTTAACAAGTTCATAAATGTTTCAAGTGTGATAAAGCGCAATGGCGTAGACTCACCTCGGTACGCAGGGCGCTTGATTGCACGGTCTGACCTTTGCGTCTAGTTTAGTGATATTTCTGCAGAATTTATCGTCCACCAGTCCGCCGATTTTCTCGATGCAACGAGGTTTCGATATCTGTTCTCCCGGGCCGCAACCTGCCGAGCATTTCTCCCAGTCGATGAAATCCCACGAGAATTGGGGTTTACGAGAAGTTCGTTGCTTCAGTCCTAATGAGTATTTCAACGTGACGTTCTCCTTCGGTGAGACCTGTCATATTAACTAGCCGTCAAGAAAATATCGTGAAAGGATAAGATAAAATTTCACTTAAATGCAGTTTCTAAGATAGCTTAGCCGTTATATACTTTAATATAAAAGTGGGAAAAATAAATATTGCGCTTAAGAAAATCATGTTTAAAATACTATCTAATAAAATACTGATTTCTAGTTGTTTTGTAACGTATTTTACAACATGTTGAATTGAGAGTCATTATTGAAGAGATAAAAATCATATTCGTTTCGTCAGTTACAAAGACAAAAATTACATACGAAGAAAGCTTAATTTGAAATTTGCGTTCTTCGAAGATTATAGAAAATCATTATGCATTTCATTATTCAATCGAGTTAATTGCTGACTTTCTTCCTGCGCATTCTTATCAATAAGTTTGTGTACACTCTGTCTGAGATACGTTATCGATTCGCCCAGCGGAGCGAGAGAACGATAATTAGTGGAATTCATTATGTTTACCAATATAACCAAGTCTTCGGTGACGGGTCCTGGTATATTCAAAGCTTCCTGCCTTGGCCTTATCATTCCCAGCCACGCCTTGGAGCCTGGCACATCGAACATTCCTAGGCGGTTACTGAAATAATCACGACGTAGTGTTAATTGCGGAATAAGATTGTGTGCGAAGTAATAGTGTTCGCTATTTATGCGGCAATATCATGAGCTGAACAGAATCGATCAAAAACAGGCTTAAGAAAAACACCGGGTTGAATAATACTCGCAATGTTCGATAAAAACAGTGAAAATAACCAATGTAAATTTTTTTCAAAATGTTATCACTGGAAAAATAAGGAAAATTTTTTTTACCCATCAATCAGCACGGTTTTTGTAATTTTAGTGCGCACGACAATTCTAGACTTGGTTGGTTCTGTCTCCTCGACGCGGATATTTCTGGAGCCGGCCGGCACGTCCGTTATCTTCTTGAGACCTTAACGTGAAAATTCGCTCAGGAGATTATTGCGAAAAGCTAGCTCGCGGTATTATTCGTCGAGATTCCAATTTTGGCGCAGCGTCGCGCTGCCGCGTAGCGCAGGAAGATTTATTTGGCTGTCGCGATGCTCAAAGCGCCGCTCGGGATTCCTCTGGGAGAGCAAGGCTGAACGCGCGTCTTATACTTCTGCTCCCACGGAATTTTAATTCACGAAAGTTCTCGTTCCCGTACTTCCCTATTCACCCCGCCGCGTCGACAACACTGAAGTTCATCGGCATTTTTGTCAAGTCGCGAAATTCGCTCGACGCGGAATAGTAAGCGGCGACACGCCAAAAAGATTATTATAAAGAATTCAAAAGAGATATTCGGAATCTTTGCTGAAAATTATTGATACAAAATTCACAACTATCATCTTTGAAGCTTTCTAAATAATACGAACGTATTTTAATAATTCAGAAATTTTTTACTTTGATATTCGACTTTTACTTTAAGGTTTTTATTATTAAAGTTTTGCAATATTGAACTCTTAGTATTCGAAACTAGGAAAAATGAAATCTTTATGTGTTCGCAGTTGTATGTGTGTAGAACTGTGTATAACTATGTGATAAGTAATATTCACAATTGTGACTGTAACTTATTTTAACTTTTATATATTTTTTTGCTTACGCTGTTGAGCCACAAACGACTTTGTTCCTTGCTTCAATGTGCACGACGTGCCGTCGCCTTTGCAAACGCCGCAAACGTCTTCGACGGCCGTAGATTCTATATCTAGGTCACAAGGTATCTCTCTGCACACACCCCCGATGCAAATGTCTCGAATACCTCTGTAGCACGTGGTACCGTCTACCACTTTCGGTCTCAACGAGGTCACCAGATTAGTTTCGCTCTTACAGTAAAGAGCACAGGGATTTTCGGAGGCCCTCAAATCTAAGAGAGATAAGTCGCGAAATCAGCGAGATCCGAAGATCACTTACGGCCTTACCTTCCGGTAGATTATACGCGACCCAGCGGTGAATCCTTCCATCCTCCGGAAATACCCAGTCGTTGAATTCGGCGCACTGCACGTCGCGAAAGGAAGGCGCGCCGATTTCGCAGGGCTGTAAAAAATTGTTCGGTGTTTATATCGCTTCGCATTGAAACCGCTCTACTTTTAACTGCTTTACATCAGCACAGCGAATTAAAAAAATTTTTAAACATACAACATCGTGCTACTTTTCTTTACTTAAAGTACGAACATCCGTCATCTGTCGTCCGTTTCCGCTCGTAAAATTTTTTACATGAAGAAAGTATTTCCGATTTCTGCGACAATCTCGCAGAAGATGCCATCGTCGCGTTAAGTCGGACGTTCGTATAAGTACAAGCAAGTTTGCTCGCTGAGAAGCTGTTTGCGAGCACTCTCGAGACTAACGTCAGTGGCGCAAATCTTGTGACGTTTCCTTTCGCCGACACAGTAAGAGCCGCCTCTAGACGGGGACGGCTGGTTGCATTTTCTTATGGCGTACGCGACGCCGGAACCGCAGCTCCGGGAACATCTGCTCCAGGACGACCAGGCGCCCCAGCCGCCGTCTGTGACTCCAGGTCGTTCTCCCACCATTAGACACTTCATTTGGTAACACCACTGTAACAGTTGTTAGCCCTGACGTCGCGGCACCGGGAATGACTTATGTTACGGGGAAACGAAAAGGCACGGAAGATGTTCCCGAGGAAGTGTATTATGCACGAAACTAAATGATGCACGTCCTTTGAAAGAGCGACGTGAGACTTTATTATGCCGCGCAAGAGATATTCTTGCGTCTCGAGATCTGCGTCTTGTTCCATTAGAATCGCTAACGCTATTCCCCGACGCGAATAATTATCGAGTCTCTTTTACTGCCGTTTTAAGCGCACCGAAAGCTGCTCAAGTGTCTACCGGAGGAATAATTTCAGTTCTTCATCTCGTCGTAACGTAAGCTATTTCGCACGTTAAAAAATAGCTATTATCCGCGTATTACTCTTTATTTAACCGGTTACTCGTCATGAATAATAATTATTTGTTAAACGTGCCACTTTGCGTGCTCGCAATGATAATATTAATACGCGGATGCATTTAATGTTCAGGAAATGCTAAAATTCATGCGCCCCATGCGATGTATACTCCAATCTCGCGATAAAATTCATCGTTTTATAAAAATGCTCGAGAATATTACGTCGTTTCGTTGAAAATGGCTACTTGAATTTTGCTACCTCGCTTTTCCATTTGAAACATCCGCATTAAAGTATGCGCTCAATTCCGCGATAACACGCAAACACACCCGAATCCGCCCTCAACCAGCGACAAAATAATTACTCTCCCCACTGTACAAACTACAATTGCATATCTATTTGTCTATTTCATTTCACCGATGATTGCATCGACTGTATTGTGAAGCGGGCATGACAAACAAACTGAATTTTTACGCATGTAGGTAGATCAATCTATTTTTGTAGTCGATGTTATCGTTGCGATTTCAATTTTTTAAACTTTGCAATCTCCTGCGCATCGTTCAATTTTGTTCACTAAATCATCGGATGAAAATTTGTTTTTCCTTTCACATTGAGTCATTTATATAAAATATCAAATGCCTTTGTTTTAATTATCCGAATCTGCCGTAGCTTTAAAGAGATATGTATGTATCTTGATTGATTTAGTTTGCGCCACACAAAAATATTTTGTTATTTAAATCGATATAAATTTCCTGTTGTCTGAAATAAATCTTTTCGCGTTATTATACCATTTGTTTATCGATGTATGCAAGATTTGCAATGAAGGTAATAATCATTGGTCGTTTCGACGTGTCGGATCGATTCGTGGCGCGTGCGTGTCGACCATTGGACTTCGTTTAGAGTTCGCTCCGGCAATTAGAGATTACTTGCCGGCGGGGTTCACGAGCTTCATTTCTCAACGGTGGTGTTCGACCTCATCGACACCCCGAAGCGGCAGCCGGCCGGCTGGTTGGCGCTAATGACTCCCGTCTGTGCGTCTCAACGCTTCGGCACTCTATTATTAACATCGTCATCTAAATCTAATATTTTCCCGATGTCTGCTATTTGGACACTATTCATTGTTTTTTAATTCACAGTTTCACGCGCACATCGGCATTCTATCGCGTTTTGCTGCACTTTCGGCAGAATCCCTTTTGTAACATCACGTAGCCGCGTATGCCTGATCAACCGCAAAAAACATTTCGGCCGACTTGCCTCGGTTCGATTTCCGAAATATTCGTGACTCGACTTGAAACGGGTTTTACTCGATGAGATACGTGAATTTTTACGAAGTATATTAGGCTCTTCGCGTGCATCCTTTTATGTATCGAATTCTTTCAGCAAATTTTTGAAGCCGATTTTTCTGTTTTCTGAAATTATAATCTTAAGATTTATATTTTCAAATACATCCTGTTCTTTTTAAGTCAGAGTACCGATTATGTGTACGTTGCGTTTTAAACTTTTTAAATTATTATTGAGTTTTAGATAAACAATTTTTTAGACGCTTTTGAAGTGTATTAACTTTCTATAAGAAGCTTTGCTTATTAAAGCATCAAGAAATGGCATAAAGTTTATAATTTTTGCAAAGTTGTGAAAATTTTATAAAAGAGTTTATAGGGTATTTGCGCAATGTTAAGCCGATATATCTTGAATACGTGCTTTGAATATGTACTTGCACATAACTGCTTGACATTTTTAACATTACTATAAGGGCTTTATTGCCTTAAAGACCAATGGAACTTAACTGAAGACTGAAACTGGTTTTAATTCTAAAAGGGCGCGTGACTCATGGTCGATGGTGGAACCAGATAGCTTTTTTAGCTTTCTGCTATATACTCTCGCCGTATCTCTTTCATGAGATACTTAAACCGTTCCGACGTAATGGCCTTTCAGTGAAAGGTTTTCGAGAGCTTTGATTAATTGATCAATATATAATTTTTCTTCGAATCTGCGTATTGATACGCTTTTAAGACTCTCGAAACCGAATAAAAATTTATTCATCAGCTATGTTTCCGAAGCAATTATCCCGAAGAACACCTATTGAATTGATATTTAAGCAGGCGTATAATAAAAAAATGTATTTGCACGCACAAAAGCCATATAAAATTAGTTATGAAATTTTTAATGGTTTCAGTGAATATAATATTCATTTTTTAGCCAAAGAAGCCGTTAAATTAAATTTTTTATAAAAATAATATTTTCAAAATTTAAGCAAACTTTTCCGAGTTTTTAATAATTAAATAATTACAGTTTATAACCAAATTATACAAAAGATTACTCGAAGAATTATTTAAAAGGACAAAAAGAAAATTGGTTAATAATTGTCTAAAAATAATTTCTGTCGCGAAAATAATTTTGTCCGAGAATATACAAATTATTACTTTCGCGTCTTATCGCAGCTCTCGTGACGCTGGACGGGTCGTAGGTCATCCTTTGTGCCTTACTTTATGCTCTTTATTCATAAGCGATAATTTACCCTCTTTTCACCGCACGGGGTGCCCTCCGCAGGTGGTTTCCCGCCAGACACGCAACCTCTCCCCGGAATGGCGCATCTGAGGATATCACAGGTCTGAAAACGGGGACGAGATCGTTCCATTTTATTTAGCTAGGTGCGTGCCGATTGCTCGACATGATATCGCGATTTCTCTGGCGTCTTATTCGACATGCGTAACCGGCGAACGTATTTTCCTAAACGGATAAGGTAGGCCGCAAAGGCATTAGTTTGTAGATGTGAACGGCAGATGGTGCCTCTTTACGGGCGACGCAGAATCGTTGATACGATAATGCTATCGGATTACGTTAACACGCCGATTACGCTTAACTTTTTTATTATTATGGAAAACTGTCACGACGCACCCTTAATATCGTGCTCTTAATCTGCTTGACTTACTATTCCCATATCACATTGCCGAGCGTCTGATCGATATCGTAAACGGCATTGATCGTCTCCGTTATACATCACGCCTGGCAACATTTCCGCAGCGGGAAAATAATGGTCCTGCGGCTCGTCCTTTAAGCAAAATGCCAAACCTTGTCTGAAAACAATGACTGCTCTGTAGTTTTGAAATTTAAATGTACGTTGCATATATTAATGTAAAGCAGCTAACTCGTCATCTGCTCAGGTAGTTTAGGAAAATTTAAAGACAAATTTTATTGTTGTGATTTTGAAATGTTGTACCTTATATGATATAAAATTAGGTTCTGATTTTCCCTCAAAGAAATTCTTCGTTTCATAAAGCATTATAGTAATAATGTATGAAAAGAAACTAAAATATAGGACGCTAATTTCACATTTTTCCTATTTGAAAATTGGTAATAATTTTCTATTGTCATTGTTCACTCTTTGACCTCGCTGTTCTTAATTTAATTTGAAATTTACGGCCATGGGATCAGACATTCTGTATCTCTCCATTCCTAGCAAATGCGCCGAGTAGATGAGGAAAGCAGCTTTGTTGTCGGCGGACTTTAATAAAGCCGCCAGCGAAAAAGCAACAAGCATTAAGCTCACTCGATGTACGAGCGCAGGTAACGCCGGGAGCACTCGGACCATTTTTTCGTGATGTACATGTCACCGGGGTGCATAACGGTGGTCTCCGCGTATCCGTTGCCGTGATAAACTATACCGGGGCAGCCGTTCTCCCGCTGCACGTCGTGGGACATACCCAAGCTGGTAATGAGAAAAAGAAAATCGGCTTTTCGGAGTGGAATATTTATTGGGGCACGCGCGTCGCCCGGACTGGCTCTTAAAAGGCATCTCGAGGTACACGACGACGAGGAGCCGCTTCATACATTAAACAACGCCCTCGACCGTGACTTATTTACGACGACGCCACGGCATACCATTATTTCCACTCTCGGGCAAAGAAACGGTCTTTAGGAATTTATTTCGAGTTTTTTTCCCCCGCGGGTTGCAAAAAGGGACCAGTCGATGGAGTAACCGAACGGAAGGGAACAGCTATCGAAACGAGAATGAGAGAGAGAGAGAGAGAGAGAGAGAGAGAGAGAGAGAGAGAGAGAGAGAGAGAGAGAGAGAAATATCCGTTCTAGAATATTCTCGCGATGGAAATGAGGCTACATGAAACATCGGTTGTATTCTAACGGAAAATGTTCGCGAACGATGTTGCACATATATACGCGTGTATAGTATCGCGTTAACATTATAAAATTAGTTTTGTTTGACGTGATATTTTATACGAGATTGACGGTGGTGCGTGCACCAGAATTATCAATGTTTGGTTCTTGCGGCGCAGTATAATTACTTGAAATTTTTCCGGCCGCGTCTAATCTGGTCGAAGCGGATTAAATTAATTATACGCTTACGTGTGGCCTATCTGATGAGCTATATGATAACCGGTTGGCAAACCGGCATCTCTCACAATAGCCGCGCCTCTCAAAGGATCACATGTACCAGCGATTGTGGATGTACCGGTGAAGCCGCACAGGTTTCTCGAGACGCAGACATCTAACCTGGCGAATCATTGATCGTCAAAAGGATGAGTAATCTCGAGATTAGATTGAATTTCCGGCGGAATTAGCTAGCGTCGCGTACTTGCTAATGAGAATCGCGCAGTCGTGGTGATTTGGATGAGAATCGTCGCCGGGATTCATAGTGCGCTGCCATTCCTGGAAATGCCTCAGCGCTGCATCCGCATCTTGATTTATTGATAAATTCATCTGTATTTGATAAAAAATCAGATTTGCACATATTGAAATGCGTGAAGCGAATAGATTAAAAAGCCATTTAAATATTTTTTATCTACAAACATCAGGAATTTTTATGAATATTAAATATATCGGTTTCATCGCACGTTTTCATTTTGAAGTGAAGAGAATTTTATGTACTTGGAACGTGGAAAGCTTTTGTCAATTATTTTACCTCATTTTCTTCCACCTCTAATCTTATAATTCTTACTATAGTCAACTGCATATGTACTCCCAAACTGACGTCGTGAAACAATCCTGCGGCCTGAAAAAAAGAGGGTTTCCTGAAATTTCTATTTAAAAACTTTTTATTTTTAAGAGTATCGATTTACCATATTGAAGAGCGTTAGTACGTAATTTTCGATATCAAACTCTCGATAATAGTCTAGCAGAGACTTGTCCAATACGACTAGCAATTCCACCGTATATGACCTGCTTTCGTTTGATTTTGCGGACACTCTCTTTTGCGGACTCAAAGCGCGCTTGGCAATGATTCTGGACGTATTGCCGGTGACGTTGCAAAGATTCTGCACAGCAGCGGTCTGAAACTCATCCGGGTTCCTTTTATACACGATATGCGGTTGCTCCGTTTCTTTGGTAAAATCATGCCCCGCTACTGGTTCGATTATGTACCACGCTCGCTTCGTTTTAATGTATCCGACCTGAGAGATAAAATAAAATTGGCATTCTGAATAATGATTTCTTAAAATTCATAACCGATCTGTTTTTTATCAAAAGAAACTATAAAACTTTATTTAAATTTCGTTATCTCTACTTTGCAATTAAATAAAAAGGATTATATAGCGTCAGAGGAATAGAGTTTAATCGATTAAACTTGATATACGTTATCATGCTTTAATCGAAATGAAGTAACATTCAACTAACGAGTCCATAACAGGTGGACAAAGCACTGTCTTCCAAATGATTTCGCACACGAGCCCGATAGTGACATTGCGTGTTTCGCAATCGCTTCAGCTGCATATTATTCAAAAAATCTCGCGAACCTCGACGTTCTTCGATTATCGCGTTTGGCCCGAGAAGTCGATGATTTGGATAGAGTTCGATGTGATATTCTTCATGATCAATACGCAGGCGGTAGTGAACAGCATCATCGAATGTCGTTCGATTTCGATAGAAAGAGCGCTCAAAGTGATGAGGTATCTGATGTGATAAGAAACTTCCATCCGATCTAACTTTTCGCGGTATTACGAGTTCGTGATCGTCTGGTAAATCAGCAGCGCGCGTGTAACGTCCTTAAAAACAAATTCAATTCAATTGTTGACAATATTAACGATATGAACATTTTTAATTATGCAAAATAATTGTATAGGTATATGTATATATAATTATTAACTATCTTATGTATACAATTATATAATAATGTATAATTAAATATCATAAATAAATGAATTAATAAACTTTTATTGTGTGGTAACAGGTTCTATACAATGAAAGTCGCAGTGCGATAGTAATTACTCAATGGCTACATTGTTAAGCGAACTGAAAGCAAACTTCATACCCGTTTGATTGGTACCATAATATTTAATATTTACGCGCTGTACAATTTTATAGAGAGAGTTCCTTTTTATCTACGATTGAAAATTGATCGCAATAATGTATTGTTTGAATACTACGTATGAATTTTCCAATGTACGTTCCACTCATCGATAGCGAGTATTATTTTGTCATGATGTTGTTACACGCATTTGCATTTCCATGAGAAATTTGCATGAAAATTTAATAAACCAGAGGAACGTTTCTAAATAATAATCACGCACTCGAACGTACTGCTGATGATATTTCGTCATCGATCGTTCCCATTATTTAACCTTCATTGTTGCGTAATAGCAATAATACTGCTATGAAATATCTATTCAAATTTTAGCTTTCTGTATGCGTTCTATTTAACATCAAAGTACAATAAAGCAACGATTGATAATTACGCAATAGGCACTACATTTGTCATACATTAAATTTGAAAACCACAATGGAAGTACAAAGCCGATTTCACTACATAAATTTGAAAAAAATTCTATAAAAAGAATCGATGATCTATGAAGATGTGCTGACGAAAGAAGTCGAATGGAATCGAATGGACAATATTATTGTACAGTCGAGAATATTTCTAGCAACGTAACGGTTTTTCCCTTTCCGTCTTTCCGGACATCGTTCTATTGCAAAAATACAGGAAGCTTTTTCGTAGGTGAAAATGTTACAGAGGGTTAGATCTTTCGATATCAGGTATCAATTTCGTCGTTGTACGCCGCGAGAGAGCACGAGAAGGTAGAGAGAGAAAAAGAGAGAGAGAGAGAGAGAGAGAGAGAGAGAGAAGAGAGAGAAGAGTAGAAAGAAAGAAATGAAACCATGGCAAGCACGTACAATGGATCATCATTTCGTCGTATAAGTGCAGCAGTTTTCCCGCTTGGCAGTGCTATATCATAGAGAAATGTCACTCGCACACATAGCATCGCTCTTAAAAAATTACTTGTTTCGTTTCCAACTATTAGGCATTTAATTAATCTGTTTGATTAAACGTTTTATTACAAAGACACTAAAAAGCTGAAATTATAAAAATAACATTAAACATTTTATCGACAAAGCAAACATTTTCTTTGGCAATAATTTTTTTTCTCTCCGTTATATTTCGCGAGATCTTTTGCTACTATTATTATATTATATTATTTGAAAGGGTAAAACTTGAAAAAGAAAATATAAAATTAAAAGATGTCATGCTATCATGCCGCAGCCATCGAAAGGGTCTCTTTAAATCAAGCTCGTAACGAAAGAAAGCATGTTTTCGTTTTCGGCATCTATGATTACGACCGCAATGCAGACAAGAAAGAGTAGCAAAGAGATATGATGTACAATGGGTCATCTTCACGTACCGCGACTCGCTACTCTTCTCTCTGCTGTTTGCGAAACCGCGAAAAATAGCTCTCGCGTGCGCGCTATGCTTGACAAGAGAAAAGCTCTGCTCTGATAGATGGCAATGACTTTCTCGAAATAGGACAAGCTGATAGGGTGTGGAAAAACTCTGAAAGAGATCGACGCGGGAATTTTTTCTGTAGGAAATTACGAAAGTGGCTAACATATTTCAATTTATACAGCGTTATAAAGATTTTTTACGAGTTATTCGTAATATTTTATTCGTCATATTTTATGATTTATGATGTTTTATAATTCGTAACGTAATATTTTAATATTTATATCAATATTTCCATGGCAATTATTTTTAAAACGTTTTATCTGTATGTAAACTCTCATACATAAATATTGCTGCTTTAGAAGAGCAAGGAAAATTAAGGGTTAATATTATTTATTTGATGCAGTTAATTATATTGTTATTATTTTCATTTAATAAATGCAGAGGTAAATTATATATTATTAAACTGCAAATTTTGTTCATATTAACACAAAGGTATAGCAATTTTTATAATTTTGGAATTTTTGTAAATTTATTGGAATTTGCAAAAACATTGACTGCAAAAGAGCGCACAAATATTATAAAGACAATACATACCGCGATAACTGGTACAAACTCGCTGGTTATGGAATGTCACAAGTACAAACAAGCAAATGGATGGATAAGGCGACAGGCGTTTCATCATAGTATCAAAGTAATACAATCTTATCGTGACATGTATCCGTCTCCAGCAGACATTGGACTAGAAATGTCAATTCAGTTGATAAAATTAAGGGAGCCAACCTATCTGACGTAGCGCATGCTGTACATACATATACATGCCACAGAGCGACATATCGATCTCGAAACAAAAGGGTCGACGACCACATGTATTGTCTGTCAAACCAATCTATTTTCTCGTATATTTTTCTATACATTCTGAACGTTGTCGTATTCACAAATATTTTGTTTTGTAAAATTCCTCGAGATCTGAACATGTTGCATCAAAGAACTAAAAATTTCAGCCATTCAGCATTTGGCTCTCTCGAATAGCATATCCATACATTTTTATTCATAAAGCGAAATATGAAATATTTAAAATTATATTTAGAAGCATGCCATATTATGTTAATCCAGTGATGAGTAAAATTGTAAATTCCATATTAAAATAAACTGTTTTATTAATAATTTATTTAAAGATTTTAATTGTATGTTTATTAATTGAATTTTGCATTTTCACGACAACGATACATTCTACCAATGTTTAATTCAATTTTCCTGCACACATGTGCACTCGCGAAGAGAGAACGAAGAAGTTGCCCTTTAATCGTCCGCAGTAAAGGCTACTTTCTCGGCCGTAATGGTGACTTATAACAGGTCATTCAATGCAATCTCCTTATCGTAAAGTTGGGATTAAAACGGGCAAGAAAGCCCGACCACGCTTGACCTGAAAACTTGGCCTTGCGGCGTAATTTCCGGGACGCGAGTTTTTCCGCGTGGATTGCGAGCGATCCGCCGACAATCTCGAAAAAAGACGCAATTACTCGCGGGAGAGTGTGCGATTAATCGAGCGAGCGAAAGCTCGACGGGCGGACTGCATGTTGCTCACTGTTTTGCGCCTTCGAAAGGAGCGTTCATTAAAATGCTGCACGCACGGTTAACAATTTCAGTTTGCCTTTATATTCGTGTGATTTTCGCAGACGATTTTATCGGCTTTTCTCGCCTACTCGTTAATATGAAATTAATGAGAAATGTAATCTTAACTGTTTGTTTTTAGAATAAAGGAGATTTTTATGATTTACACAATGACGTTGAATGCAATACTGTATAAGTAAAATCCAGAATACAACGATCTTACTTATTGTTAGTGCTAAATGTGAAATGTAAATACGGTCTCTTTGTCGTTGCTATATAACAATTGAAGCGTATGCGTACACAATGTCCATATGCATGCGTATGAACGCGCTCGTTTATATCAAACGCGAACATACCATTGTTACGTACATACGGTTTTTGCACCTTATAAGCGCGCTTCGGATGAAGTTGTTTTTCACGCTGATACTCGAGCTTCGTTGTCGATAAGAACTTTTTAACGCCATATTTTCGTTTAGTTCGATCCCTTTTCAATTCAATTCTTCTAGGATGCAGTGAATCGTGTTATTTCCTGAAAATACTTCCGCATACTCATGCCGATTCAACATTTTGCGAAAACACGCTGGGAAAACATGCGGAGCAAAAAGTAATGCGTACTTATATTTCTTACGTTGTTTCTCGGTTGAATTAAGATTAAAAGTTTAGAATAAGATGAAATTTTTTATATATAGAGAAATGTGCGAGCGAACACTGTGTGTTTGTCATATATTTTCTTACGAAAGGTAATCTTAACTTCAAGTAAAACCAGCGTCGCGCTCCAACAGCACGGTAGATCGTGCACAACGATTTCAAATAACATTTTCAAAACAGCGTTTTCAAAAATACGAAGTGATATCGTGCGCGACTATTTTGAAACCCGCACGCTACTATTTTCATTATTTTCGTTCACAGTACGGAAACACGAGCTTGCGCGAACGTTGTGTAGAGGACGTGTGTAAGCACGGAATCTCTTTCAATTTTTTGAAATTTAGTTGGAAGAAATAACTACGAACGAACGTAGGTGGAAGGGAAGGCTTGCGCGCGATCGCTCGGCGTTTTGTGCGGAGGCTCTTCTTGTCTCGCAGCACGTAATGATCATTTCGTCAGGAACAACCGCGAGTCGTTACGGACGGCGTGTAACCGTGCGGGGTCTCGTTACTTTCGATCGCGTCAGATACATAGTTGGTCATTATTTTGCAGCGTGTTCACGCGGTGTTCTCCCGGTGCTCTACACATGTCCCTCGTCGGTGAAGAAGGGACGGCATTTCAAGCGGCGCGGCTGAAAGGGCGTCTGACGTCGATTTTTCTGTGTCTACCGGCAAGAAACGAAGCGTGGTGAAACGCGATGCACGTCTGCCGTTTTGTCCGCGTTTTTAACCACCGCGTGCTGACGATGCTTTAACGATTCGTTTCTTTGAACGATGCTCGGTGTATCCTCGATTAGAACCGGTCATTCTCTTGCGAGCGCGCTGGTACTCCGGGATGTCGAGGAGTATCGCGGCATCCAAAGCTTTATAAGATCCGAGCTGGCTTTAGCAAGCATTTTTCAAAATGAGTTACCGCTGCGAGCAAAATAGAAATACATCGCTCGCACTCAAGATTTATGAGATTGCCCAGTGTCTATTATGTCTTGTTTTATTTTCGAAGAACTGCAGTTCTTGTAACAATGGTTCTTGAGCTTCTTTAACTCCTGGTATAGTACCTCTCGCCCTGAGGAATAACTGCACGTAACTGTAACAGTTATTTACCGAACACTCTGCTTATTCTATAACTTTGCTTAATCTACACACTGTATGTGTGTGATAAGCAGAATTTTTACATTGATCAAAATTATTTATGAAGCTTCTTTTATCTGCAGTGGTATAAGATATTTTTTTAATATCATTCTTTTACACAATTATCACGTTTGTTGTAAAAAAATTTTTATTAGTATGATAATAATTTTTTTTTATTTTGTACTGATTTTTATAAAATTTCTATTTGTGTCGTACTACATTTTTGCTTTTCAGCGTTTAGTATATATATATATTTATTTATTTATATATTTATTATATATATATTTTAAGTATTCTGCGAAGAAAAAGATTTGATTGCATGTCGAGTCATTCATGCAGCATCTGTACTACTTCGTTGTGGAAAAGCGCGCGTATTCCTTCGCGGTAGTATCGAGAAAAAAGGGACGCTATAACGCGTGGGAGATATTGCCAGCAATTCGTACCAAGTACGAATGGACATAGCGCGAAGGCGCCGTTTCGCTCCGCATATGACTGTCCATATCGTAAAAACTTTTCATCAACTAAAATTTGAGCGCTCTTAACCGTCGGAGCCTGATCTTGACTACGACTACCGCAGATTTTTATCTGATCCTTTGAAAAAGGTTTTGAAAGACTTGAGATATAAAAACGGCTCTGGCTTTTACGTGGTCGACGTTTTTATCTTAGAATTAATTTATAAATATTGTACAAAAATATAAATTTATTTTACGTTTGCGTTTTAGTTTAGAAAATTAATACGAATTATAAACATAATTTATAAAGATTATTATCTACCGAGGAGAGTTAGAATTAATTTTCTTATATTTAGTCTTTAATTAATAGCTCTTTTTTTTTTACGTCTAAAGATATTAAAACTTTCTGAATATACGTTATAATCGCCCGAAGAGTAAGAAAGAGTATAATGGATGACTTAATCGCAAGTATCTTCGTAAAGTAGTAATTACGGCAGTTTAAAAGACAAGGCATTTAAGAAGGAATACATTTGTCGCAGAAAATCGCCACAGTCCTCGCCGAGTGCTCCCCTCGTACTTTTCCTGTAATTCCGCGCCGTCGTCGTTGCGGAATCGCGCGCGGAGATCGCGCGACGTTCGCTGTCTGCCGTCATTCGACAGCGACAGTGGAATATGCCGTCGACTTTGTAACGTCGCATCGGAATTAGAGGCATATTTCGCCCGCGGACCGGCTGGCGGTGTTTTAATTAAGAAGGGGAGCCCGGGAGCGACTGCGCGAGGGAATATTTCTTCACAAGCCATTGCAGTCGCTCTTCTCCACCCTCAAGACCCGTGGGAGAGGATGCGCGCGAAAGGGACTCCCTCGGTGAGATAAAATTGTCAAGCATCGCGGCCAGGAGCGAGAGAGAGAGCAAGAGGCACTTTAAGCGCCCGCGGCGGCGACGGCGTGGCCCACCATTATATTTAGCGCACGTACAAACTCTTTGTTTTCCGGAGAGTTGGGCCATTCGTTTGTTCGTAACGCGCCTTGTAGCGTTCCGCCGAGCTGGTACGCGATGCGGCGGCGGGAGCAACGCGACGGGGTAACCCGACGAAACGACTCTTTAATTCCGCACGTTCAGGCGATACGTATACCGCCGCGTTCTTTTTTTTCGCGCCATAACCACGCGCACGGACAAGAACGTAAGATGATCGCCGTGACATGTACCGCCGCGGTTATTTTAATTCCATTATAAAGTCCGATATATACACCGAGCATGTCAATGCTTTCATCGGTTTTGTCATGTGTCAGTTTTACTTCCGCGCGTCTGCTTGATATATTGCTTCGCGAAGTCGCGCCGGATCGATTTTTCCTTGACGAAAATATAAAAAGGAAGGGAGGCGCCATCCGGAAACATTTCATTCTTGACGTGAATCTTGAATTTTCAGAAGTAGGTTGTCCGATTTGTAATTTAAAATTAAGATCGGCTTATGTTAGACCACATTATTTTAATCAAATATATTCACTCTTCCTTTTTCTTAAAAATCTTGTATTAAAAAGTTTGCAATTAGTCATATATCGGTATGTGAGACAAGAGATTCGCAAAGATTCATTACAAATGCAGAAAACCCCGATCGATGCCTCTTCAGTGGCATAAGAAACGCAATGAAAACCGCGGAGTGACGCTGTTCGGATCGCATGCAAATACCGGGCGACTAGAATCAGCGTCCGTATCAACAGTCGACTTATTACATTCCGAATAATAATAAGGGAGCACTCGCGCGCTCGACGACTGCCTTTAGCAATTCAAACTATCGTTTAGACTCTGTTTTCCACGGTGTTCGCGAACGAACTGGAAGAGGTATCG